TTCCTGCTGTGGATTGGTAGGAAGTTGTAATAGTTCCTGCAAACCAATTCAGTCCAACCGAGGCACAGATGCAACAACTGCAGGATGTGGACGTTCTTGCAGGACCTGTCAGAAGTCCGGCTATTGATGCACTGCAAACCGTAATTAATATTCTGCAACAGTAGCTTCTTGTCGATTGGTTCTATTGCAATGTGAAAATAAAACTATATATATTTTTGTTAATGGATTGTTGACTGATTTTATTTGGTGCTAATTTTTAGGTGAAATTTTTGGTGAAGAAATAATAACATAAGCCTTATAACATAGACATTATTTTTATAGACAGTATTTATATTTGAAACCTGGCAAGATATAATCACATTTGTGGAAAATAAATTAGATAATAGATATAATTTATTGATCCCAGGGTGTAAATTGGGTCATGTTACCATTGCTCACATATAAAAAAGAAATAAAAGCATATGTGAAATCTTAAAAATTAATATTACTTGTACATATACTCTACTTATGAAACTATACAGTAGAAAATATAGATCTGAGTATTGCACAGTTTAATTTATTGCACTTATATTATTGTACTATTAAAGCATTGTATGTTTAAAGATATAAAGGATATGAAGCTATATATAAGATATAAGGACATTAAGCTGCTGACAAGTCTGAGGTAAGTACAAATTGAAACAACTTCAGTCAGAGTAATATCTTGTCTCTTTAGTAACCACTGATTTCAATTTGGAACCCATGTAAAACACTGAACTTGTAAGATCATAACAGGACTTAAAGGGATAGTTCGCCCAAAAATGAAAATTCTGCCATTTTTTCACCCTCATGTTGTTCCGAACTTCTATGAGTTTATTTCTTGTGTGGAACATAAAAGACAATATTTTGAAGAATGTTAGTAACCAAACAGTTGTTGATCCCCATTGACTTCCATAGTATAGAAAAAAAATACTAAATTAGTTTGGTTACCAACATTCTTCAATAAAAAAAAGGAAATAGGAGGATCTTTAATTGTGGTAGCAGTAGAATACTTCTGTTGTCCTGACCCGAGTACAAGCTCTCATTCTAATCCTGAAAGTCTTAAATACTTATGTCTTATGGCGCTTTTCCACTGGATGGTACGGCTCGGTACGGTTTACTTTAGGGGAGTTTTCCACTGGGTACAGTACCTGGTACTTTTTTTTAGTACCACCTCGGTTGAGGTTCCAAGCGAACCGTTCC